CTGTAAATGGGGAACAAAAAAAAACATTTGAATTTTCAAATGAAATTTCCTCTCTTTAATTTTTTCTCTTCATTTTCCCTACCCTAAAAAAAGCAAAACCCTTTAGATCTCAAATCTTTAGGTAGTTTTTTTTACACCCCCCCCCCCCCCCACCTCCCCACCCATAAACACACATTCACCCAGTCCCCAAATTATTACATGGTTGAGCCGTTAGGGCATTTTACTTAGTCCTATATGAAATACAGACTGTCAAAATTTGCTCATTAATGACAAAATAGTTTTGTCAGTGTTGAAATACATTTGCCTACTAAGATCAAAAACAGTTTACAATTTTGAGAAAAATTGGGGTAAATTCAAAACTTAAAGGAAACAAAGGAAACTGAATAGAACCAAAAGAACTTCCTTGCTGCCCAATTCCCTAACTTCTATTACACATACAGTCATGTATGTATCACGTGAACTGTACATGGCAACTTGAAACCTTTAATTGGTAACGGCACTCACAAAGAGTGAAAGAAAAAGACTAGAGAATAACAAGGACCAACACTAGATGTCAACTTACACCAATGTCCAATAAGACAGAGTAATAGACAGTTATTTTGAGACAGGTTGTCGGAAAAAGTGCACGCAACAATCCGGAAGGTAATATCGGTGGTTTTGACGTCACTGTTTTTCAAAGAAATTTGAAAGAATGGCACAAGAAGCCACGGATATATGTTTGCGAGTGGTAAAGGAAAGCAACAAAAGTAGGTTCAACAGCTACAGTGTCAGGAACAGTATATCCCATATTACCCTTTGGGATAGTCGAGTGCACACTTTTTCCGACAACCTTCTCAAACCAGCTGTGTATGTAAACACCCCTAGGTTTTTAATATGCACTGTATGGTCTGTCCCTTTGGTGTGAGTATAATTTGAGATCTGAGTACAGTTACATCTACTTACAAAAACCAGTCAACAGCTAGGATGAGACCAATGTCTTCAGTCGGTAAATTAACAGCTTGTAGGACAAGCACCATGGTAACCAGGCCTGCCTGTGGAATTCCAGCAGCACCAATTGAGGCTGCAGTGGCAGTGATGCTGTAATGAAATAATATTAACTTATACTCTAAAACTGGAATAAACAAAAATTTAATGACTAACCCTTCCTGCAAGTGTTCTTGACTTTACTAACAGTGAATGTCACCAAAAGGGTTCTTCAAAGCCAACATCCTGACCAAAATAATTATTTTTCTCTCCATCCTGACAGTCTTAGCTGACTAATCTGACATACAATAATTGTAAGGCACTTTTCAAATTATTTGACAAGTGCCTTACAAAGAGCCAAGAATTGCGCAGTTTTAACTGTGGAAGATGAAGTCAGATAGGCAAGGTGTAAAGATTATAATCACTGCATGTCTTGGATTCTGTGGAAAATATGTGGATAACTTAAATAATATTAAAAGTTAAAGTATTACAACGGTTTGTATTTTCATCATCTTAGTGTTAACTTTGCTTGAGATTATTCCATAAATAATTAATTGCATAAGATTTAGGGGATCGATATTACTGCAGAAAAATGAAAAGTATGAATATTACATTTGGCATCAGGAAGCTTTTAAGTTTATGAAAGCTAAATAAGTTTAACAGTATCTTACCATGTTGTAATCAGCTGTCCAACGTTCAATGAAATACCATTGGCCTGAGCAATAAACACAGCAGCAACCGCTTCATAAAGGGCTGTGCCATCCATGTTCACTGTGGCACCAAGCGGCAACACAAAACGACTGATACGAGCATCAACCTTGTTATGAACCTCAATACAGCGCATGGTGGTGGGCAGAGTCGCCGAACTAAGGAGAGTCAATTAAAATGGCGTGTTACTTATGTGTACATATTAAATTTTATACGCTTAGTCTTATGTAGTAATGGGCGTTAAAATATTTTGCATGGACAGAGAAAATAGAGACCAGTTCAACTTAATGCAATGTCAATACTTATTTCTCTTCTAAACTTCTATACATGTTGAACCTCTCGTCAGGGACAACCCAAAATATGAAAATATAGTGGTCACTTACGAGAATCGCACCACAGGGAGGTGTCTTCCGAAAAGACATCCTAACACATTCTACTTATTGGCAGAGAAATTATCGCAATCAATTTCTAAGTTATGAATACATCAGTGAAAGTTCTTTGTACACTCTGAGTGGCATTATAGTACATTATTAAAGCAAACAAAGAGACCGCACCATGAGTCAAGTGGTCACCTTCAATGGGTTAAAACCAATGGAAAAACCATACCAGCAGGACAAAAAGAGGACTTGCGATCGCTTACAAGAGGTGGTCATTTACAAGAAGAGGTTCTAAGGGCTTTGAATGGGAGAATGTTTAACAATTAATATCATCATTGTCATCATTATCATTACGGTGATTAAGAAAAGCCATTCTACATGTAACACAGTGTACGTGTATATTCTATAATAATTATATAGTTTATAGTTAATTTTGAAAGCTAGTTTGTAATAAGAAACGTCAACTTTTCATGTACATGTACCAACCTTGATGATGTTCCAAATGCTGTGATGATCGCATCCCTCAAGCCAATGAAATATCTGATAGGATTCTTGCGTACCACTATCAGATAAAGTAATGGTATGATGATAAGTGCATGTATAAACAAACCAGCAATCACAGTTGCCATATACTTTCCAACCATGTCTAATGATTTGACGATGTCGTCCATTGCTGCCACCTTAGCTGCTATCAAACTGCAAATGCCGATCGGGGAAACCCTAGAAGCAAAAAACAATGATGAACATTGAAAGTCAGAAAAATTAGGTTTGAATTGGCTGAATCTTGATTATCACAGGTCTGGGGTCTAATATTATTGAACTCTGTTAAGGTAGGATCAGGGTCACTGCAGAAAGAGTTAAGTCCTATTCCTCATCTATCTATTTAACTAAATTAATTCTAAGTTACTTACTTGCTATGAGCTAAAAACTCGTTGATTTTTACATCATTTAACTTCATTCACTTATTTTTGTACATGGCTGGGGTAGATATTTCCATTTTCCTTAGAGACATTTTTTATTTCTTTACCTGTAGCTTCTATTATTTTTATCAGCTATCCCTGAGTATTGTATAAAGTGATGATTGTTTTGCTTAACATTTTATAGTAATATGGTTGGTGCAATATCAGAAATGACTTTACCGCCTAAATAAAATAAATTTAGACGTACACTGCAGATGTACTGATGTATTAATGCTAAAACTAATTGTCTCTACTTTTGCTATGCAGTCACGTCCTTACATGTACTTGTTCAAACTTGAAAAAGTGTTTCCATGCATATTATAGTTATACTTATTCCGCAAAAATAAATTGTTGAGACAGTGTCCTCAAATGGTGAACATTGAAGAAAAAATGCTAATTTTGCCTTTCATTTACAGCCCATCTGATAGGGTGCGATAAAAAATCAGAAATTCTGCGATATTTTCAGGGTAGATTGTGCGATAAGAAAGGACTATTATGCAATAAATTATGCAATTTTTTCAGGGCTTAGAAATTAACATTATTTTACCAGGTTTCAAAGGAGAAAAATCACTTTAATGTTGTTTAAAATGCAAATTTGAATGTAAAAGAACAATGAAACATCTATTTTAAAACAAAATCGTTAAATTTGTCCAATTATCTTGACATGGAAAAGAAAACAAATAGAGAGAAAGAAAAAGGACACTTGTTTAATATTACATGATGCTGTTACACCGCTGACCACACTGATTGTCTCTGAAATCAAAATGGCTGCCCAGATACTGTGATCGATGGTTTCAGATGTCTTGCAAGGCTTTCTTTAGTGGTAGATCACCTTAAACATTAAGATTGGGAAAATGTTTGCTTAAAGTTAGAATTTATTGTTTCCTTTACTTGAATTTAGCGTTTTTTTTTTACGAATTATGTGATTTTCCTCAAATTGTGTGATCAGATGCGATTTGAAGTCAGTTGTGTGAAATCGCACAATCGCATAATATCAGATGGCCTGCATTTAAGGTACTTTATTACCCATCAACATCTTTTCAAGGGTGTTATAAATAATAATAATATTAACATGTATTAATGAGTAACTTAAAATAAACAACTGATGTACATGTAACTCTAGGACTAACTATTCAAACCATCAAGGCAGCAGCGAATTACAGTCACACATTGTACAGTTGTACACTTTTGTATTAGACATCAAACTTACCACATGACCAAAGCAACCATCTTCATAATCACCTCATTCAGAGCTTCAAAAAATGCTTTTAGGGGCATGCCTCGCTCGCCAATTCTTCCCAAAACAACTCCAAACACAATAGAAAATACAACCAATCCTAAGACATTTAAGGACCCTTTAGGATCAGTCATAGTTCCATCAGGAACAGTCTTGGAGCCTGGCTTAATCACTTTTTCCAATGTATAGTTACCAGTTGTTGCATTGATTGTTTTATTGATGTAACTTATCTTGTCAGCGGCAGAGGTGTATTTAGTTTTTTTCTGGAAAAAAAAAAACAAACAGACAAAAATGAAATAACAGAAGCCTTAAGATGAGAAGCTCTACAATAATATACAGTTGTCAGACTCCCCATAACTCGAACCTTCAAGGGAAATTGAAAAAAGTTCGAGTTATCAGGAGTTCCGAGTTATCAAGAGTTTGAAGAAAATTGCTGGAAGTAAGATAAAAAACAGTTTTTACTGTACAGAGGACATTTAATTTTAATCATATTTACTTGTAGAAATGTTTGGTGAAAATTGAAAGATACTTCTAGATTATAAATTAACACATAATGTAACAAAATATAGCCTAAATAGAGAATGCATTTTACTGTTTTGAGAAGTAAAGCTTCGTCTTGGGTTTGCATAACTGTCAAGAACTCTCCCAACGGCTCGAGTGTTTATATCAGGCTATGCAAACAGAGGAAAAAAGTTTTCTATTGCTTTCATAAAATAAATTTCCCGAGAAAAAATGCAAAACTCTTTGTGGGAATATGGCAGTGATAAAAAGAGAAATTCTTACCAGTCGCAAAGTCTTGTACATGAAGTCTTGTACACGTAATCAGTTCTTGTTTTGCAGAAAGATGCTTTCCAAAATACGGATTTTTCTCAGTTAAAATGTCAGTATAAGTGAAAACAAAATTGACACAGCTTGTTTGTCAAGATTTTCCAAGTTTCAGCCAACGAAGGAATGGGTAAATAAAGTAAACTTGTCGAGTTTTGAACTCAAAACTTTTCAATTATTCGTGCTTGCGTGATTAGCACGACAAAAGCAAAACATCTTGACCTCACAACCATGTTTACATACTCTCATGCAAACACTCTTCTCGGCCAATCAGAGCGCGCATACTGTCTTAGTCATAATTGTATAAATGAATAAATTCAATGATCAGTGATAAACCAATCAGTCATATTTACCTGCTGAAAGGTAGCTGCAACAATATTGCTGGGAAAACAGCTCCTAACAATCACAAAGATAAAAAGAAAATTAATAATATTATTGTAAATGGTGATGTTTGTGTCTTGAGGGTAATCAGTGTGCAAAGAAAGTAATATTGGGCTAGTGAATTCTGTTTTTAACTTGCCTGATGGGCAAGTGATGTTTTATGTGGAATTCGAATAACAGAAGAACTGTGAAATCAATTCTGCTAGTCAAAAAGTTTTTGGGGCTAGTTAAAATGACGTCTGGGCTAGTAACTGCTAGCTTCAGCTTGCCCGGATGGCAAGCGTAAAAATGATTTTCTTTGCACCCTGGTAATACTGTAAAGGATATGTATTCTTTCTGTGAGTGGGTGGGAGTTGTATGCAGGCACAGGTAACTTACATTATCTTTTGAAAACAAAAAAAACTGCCATTGCTTTTCAATAGTACGTGACCATTAAAGTAAACATTTAAGATAGTGTTTACATTTTTTTCTTCATCAATCACATTCTTGATACCTGGGAAGACATCTATATGGGCTTATAGCTTTGCAATGGCAAGCAGATCTCCACTTTAAGAATGCCTCGAATGATCCAAATGCAATCAGCTGAACTTTAAACTGGGTCAAAGATTGCACTATACATGAGACGAACTCAAACAAAGCTATATATTGTAGGGTAACTCTGGTAACAAAGACATGTAACTTGTTCTGCAACATTTGCTACAAAACAAGCTGAAAAACAATGCTGTGCATTTCACCATACACAAATCAAACCTGTCTTGTAACAAATAAGTAGCTAAAAAGTAGCTAAATACTGTTTACTTTCTCCAACAACTTTTCCCAAACAGCAACAACCTGATTTGACAGGTTAATAATTGCGGGTGGTAACAGTGCAACATCACTTTTTAATTTGTTTTGCAACAATGATGCAAAGCACGTTGCAGGCATCTGTTGCCTATTGTACTCAGCTTTAACTAATGAGTTCCAGGCCAATGTGAAGTGCAATGTTTGATCCAATTTTTGATTGCCTTAGGTGTTTTTCAGGGCTAGGGGGAGATCAGGTTGCCATGCGAAGTACAGCGTTCGATGCCAGGGACCCCTGAATACGATAAAACCTTGTTCAATGGGGTTTTAACCTGACCTTGATATTCGTGTGACTGCAACCTTACAGCCTGTCACGTCCTTTGATTTTCAAGACCCATGGCATTAACAGGACTTCACTGTTTTCCAACGCTAGCAGAAGGCTCTCAGGCCTTAAATCATTTATTGAATAGAACATACTTCCATACTAGCTAGTCTGTCTTGTTAATCAAAGATATTTTAGAACACAGCTACAGCCATTTTCAAACAACAAAAAATTCAGGGAAAAGAAATTCAAACCTGAGAAGAATCAACGGTGAATTTATAATTTAAACTAATGTGTAGAAATGTGGCCATGGCTACAATTCATTGCACGAAGTATGTTTGTCCCAGAGAATTCAGGACGAAGAAATGAACATTAAAGCTTGCGTGAAAAATAAGACAGAAAGATTGAAAGGGATCACACAACGATTTTAATTAAAGCTTTAATAAACCATTCTGATGCAAATAAGTGCTTTGTTTGTGCTGTAAATGCAGCTTCTCTATTTGGCAGCCTAAATGAAGAGAAACCTCACCCAGCTGAGTGGCGGTTAGATTGAAAAACAAATATTGCGAAAGTGTACTACACGAGAAATTACCTTTGGTGTGAATTTTAAAGCACAAGTGTTTTTAATACATTGCGCAACCACAGGTGACCCAAGCGTAATATGAGAGTTTGTATGGGAAAACTAGAGTTTGAAACTTAGATGAAATAAATGAAGTAAAAGCGATAAAAGTTATTAATAAAGTGTAAATATTGTTACCTGGAGTCTTTGTCTTTGTTTTTACGAAGTTTCAACGCGATTTGAGTACTTTTACATCATCTGGCCTGACAGTGTAATAATAAGAGACAAGGTAGGACAGAATCGCTCGATAGACCTTCAAAGCTGCTCAGAATCGGCTCCAAATTTCACGCGAAAACACAAACTCACTTACATTTTACACCGCTGAATCCACAAAATGGTACCTTAAGATCACCTTTCTGCAATCCGTTCCGGTAAACCTTGCGTTTGGATCGCATAACTCGATCGAAAAGATCAACTACAGTTCAAAAATCGGCGCCATTTATCCGTGACTAGTAAAAGTGTAACATTTCAACCGTTTTGTCGCCCGGCGGTGACTGGGCGCTAGCGTCAACTAATAACTCACCGGGAGAGGGTGACATTACTTCGTTAAGACAAATTTCTGCGCACCCACCTCCGAGCAAGGTGGGCTTCTTTGTTTTCACTCGGCCAATGAACGAAGAAACAAAACAAAACAAAGAAGAGCCGCCCTTGCTGGAAGGTGGGTGCGTAGAGATTTGTCTTAANTTTGGCAGCCTAAATGAAGAGAAACCTCACCCAGCTGAGTGGCGGTTAGATTGAAAAACAAATATTGCGAAAGTGTACTACACGAGAAATTACCTTTGGTGTGAATTTTAAAGCACAAGTGTTTTTAATACATTGCGCAACTTGCTCAAAAGTAAAATGAAAGAATCACTTAACATTAAGGGAATTCCAAGAAACTGACATAAAATTTTGCTTAAACTAATACTGATAATTTTCAGCTTATATCGCAACTATATGTTACTTGTGATCTTCAGCCGATCTAAGCTCACTTATCGGTTTTTCAATCCTGCCAAAAACGTGGACGTAAACAAACTTTGAAGGTGCGAAAGCAGGTTGCTGAAGAAATTATAAACAGTAAAAGGAAATGAGTCGGTTCCAACTGATAAAGTTATCAAATAGTAATTTGCTCACAAGTGAGCTTATCAGGATATTATAAATTAAATAAACAATCTCACCTGATGAGATCTAGAAAAGCATCCAACGTTCTGTAATCGGCCACGTCTTTTTCTGCCTCGCTGGTTTGGCCTTTTCCGGGTCGTATGCTCACCACCAACACAATTCCCAAAATGACGGCCAAGATCGTAGTGGAGAAGTAGTATAGGAGGGCTCTTCTTCCAACGCGACCTGTAGCTTTCGCATCTAGCGCCGCCAAAGCACAGATCAAGCTGGCAACGATCAGTGGCAGAATGAGCATTTTTAACATGTTCATAAAAAGCTCTCCAGGAAAGCCAATCAACATCAAAACTGTCTTCTTGTCCTCCACGTCTTCGATGTCGTTAACGGGGCCATTCACAAGAGTTCCGATCACAAACCCAATTATAACGCCAATTACAATAAGGACAAGTAGTAAATCAGTTCGAACTCTGCGACAAAACGAACTACAACAACGACAGCATTTGCTGTCGCGCGTAAACTGACCTCGACCCATGGTTTAATTTTGGCACTTACACGAGATGACGTTTTAGAACGATTCACAGATTAAATTCCTTCTCTGACACAAGATTGCGTGAATGAAAAGGCAGTTCAAAGAGAAACCACTCTCAAACAATGACTAGAAAGCAGTGTGCTTGCTTCCTTTGCTGTAGCTGAAAACCCTCTTCTTCAATACAAACCACACTTTTAAACGATTTGATTGGACAACAGCCAATAAAACCACGTGACAAGTCCTAAAGTTTTCACACAAATATCCGAAGGGTGCTAAGCAAGAGACTCGAAAGACACAATACTGTACGTTACTTGACTTGAAGACTGCACTCAAACAACATTTTTCGAAGGGAACTATCAATGGACGTTCGTTTTCATCTGCTGGTTCGCCATTCAGACAAGCTATAATAACTTGATAACCTGGGTCCCCTGTGGAGTAGGCAGAGAGGAGGCTCGGAGGGGGGCGAGGTTTTTAATATGAATTTAATAGGATTGCCAGAATCTTCTTAATTATTCGAGCGATTAATCGCCTTTAGAGGATTTTGTCTTGATTAAACTGCCAGACTCGAGATGGTTAGTTTGTTTTTGCTAAGCCAACATCATCTCAGATGACCATCAATTCGGAATTTCCGCAAGTAGTCGATTTACTAACATTACTGCACGGCTTAAAAAGGAAACTACTAAGGGAGTGGCTAAAAATAGAAGGAAACAGTACTTGCGGAAGCATATGTACCTGGCCGCGATTCAAAAGCACTTTCTGGCATCCAATACAAACGAAAACTTTATTTGTCTCACGCGACAGGCTTTGAGTTGATCCGAAACAAGCTTTCACTCTTGTTCCTCCTTCTTTGCTCCTAAACCGCACAGAAACGCTTGCTACGCAGGCTACAAAGCTGCTTCCACTGAAGTGTTTATACTATCCGAGATAATAATTTATTTCAGCGAGGCAATACCGTAAACTAACACTTGTATACCCTCCCCCCCCAACTGATATGCCCCCTCCGTTATGGGCCCATTTACCGTACCGGTAAACAAAAAATTGTATCGACTACAAGCCCCCTGGAACACCCAGGCAGGTATTCCCTTATCATGAAGCCATATAGGTATGTGCCGGCCCCAAAGGGTATAGTTTTTGCTGCATTTTGGTCTTAAAACGGGTATAGACTTTGTCCATTTAATTTTGGTCTGGGATCGGGCATTGTTATCGAGGAACCTTAGGGAGTGAATGAACGTATTATCGTTTCGGGGAGTTCAATTCCAAATGAGTAAGAAACTAAAACAAAAATATGCAAATTCAAAACGGATTTAAAGAAGCTTTTTTTTGTTGGCGTTCTTATCTGAATAGTGACGACATATTTTCTTGGTCTGAAATAGGGTCAGGATTTGGAGAATCGGGCGGCACACCCCCACCAAGAATTCCCAGGAGTACCCCCCTGGGCTCTGACATAAGCCCCCCTTTCGCTGTTCTTTTCTTGAATTCGATTGGTGATAACGCTTTAAAGCTTACCGTATTTATTCGAATAAGCGCCGAACCTCGAATTAGCGCCCACCTCGAATAAGCGCCCATCCTAAAGGGAAGAAAAATTTAATAAGCGCCCAGCCTCGAATAAGCGCCCACCCCCTCCTCCTCCCAATCAAACTCCTCAAATAAGCGCTCACCCCCACCCCGACCACTTGAGTGAATAAATTCTAATAAGAGACTTCCCGAGGACGGAGTTTTCTTGAGAGTATTTTACAGAAACCTTGCTTTGTTACTTCTTCGCGTTTTGTTATTAGCATTTACTGTTTTGTTGCAAAATAAACATACTTCACTTGCTGAAAATGGTGAAAATTTAATAAGCGCCCACCTCGAATAAGCGCCCACTCTCAAGGTCCAAAAATTTAATAAGCGCCCAGAGCGGTTAATCGAATAAATACGGTAATTAAAAACCAGTAAATGCATGTTTTGATCAGCACTGCTATAGCGTGCTTCAAAGAGCTATTTCAGTTCTAGTTTTAAACTCCAATCAGATATAAGCCCCTCCGTTTATATTTATAAGCCCTCAGCAAAATCCTTAAGAAGATGTATAAGACAAGGGCTTATAATTCAATTCAATTTTATTCACACTTTTACAAAATATTTACATTATATATAGTAAGGTATGAATACACTACTAAAGGAGAAGAGGAAGAAAAAAAGAAAATTAATGGCTTGGATAGAAGTGTACGGTGGTCAGAGGAGCTTAGCTTTCGAGGTAACCACGGCAGTTAAGCTATCAAGAGCAAAAATTTTATTGCACTGAACTACGTCAGAAGGGTAAAACCAGCCCGTAGATCACACCCTGAGGAATCGAACTTATATATACTACACTGACAACAAATCTTTTTGAAATCTTTTATTCTTTTCTTTAATTATTTTACAAATACAAAAACATGTGGATAAAAATCAAAATATGAGTACATTATTTGGCGGTGGAATTTCTTCCACTGCCTCTAAAGGTTCTGCATCTGCTTCCTCCTCTTCTTCTACTATTTCTTCATCAACCTCATGTGGCATTGGGGCGACCTCCTCAAACTCAGGTGCTTGCTCACTGTGTTGGGGGTACACTTGTACTGCCGCTCTTATCCGGCGGCGGAAGAGAAATCCAAAGCAAGCAGAAAAACAGCCCATCCTTTGGACCTCGTTCTGTATCAACTGATCCCCTGGGAGTGCAGGCGCTTCCTCAAGACCGAGAGGAGCACGCTCTTCTCTTGGTGCGCCAGGAACGTACAGCGGGTTTCCATGGTGAGAGTTCCCGTGGCGATTCCATGTAAACCGACGCTTTATATATCTTGCTGCGGCCCTTAGTCTATTCAGTGGCCGGTTAGCTTGCACTTGCTGTGGAGGGTGTTCCTCGTGCGGTGGCAAATGTGGAGGGGGAGGTGGAGGAAGGGGTGCTTGAACAGCAAGGTGTTCATCAGCACCATCAGCATCAGGTACATCATTTTGTCCATCATTTTGTGCACCATTTTCATTTACATTTGGAACTGCATTAAGATGCTGCTGTTGAATGGGGAAATGCTGAGGTGCCTCATCCTGAGGTCCGGCATTTTCTTGTGGTCCCTGGGCTTGTGGCGCATTAGCAGGAATTTCAAGTACCACGAGTGCTGCATTTTGATTATGCATTGGTTCCTGTCCCAAGGGGACTTCATCATCATGAAATTGATTTCCATTTTGTTCTTGCATCCAAGGAACAATAACATCACCGTTAACAACATGTTGTCCTTGGAGAAAGTTATCACCAACTTCATCATTTTCTCCGGCGTCTTCTTCACCTTCTGGTGCTTGCTGTTCCATTTGAACATCGTTTAGTAAATTTTGAGGTACTCCATGTCCTTCAGGGACTTCATCATGAGGCACCGGAAATACTTGGTATCCCTGGCCCATATCAGGTAACCAAGCTGCAATAGGGACTTCGTTCCCTATCAGGTCGTTATTCGCATTTTGTAAATCATCTTGCACATCTTGCAGAATCATATCTAACTGATCTTCGTCTTCTATCTCCAGTGAATCTAAGACTGATTCATCGTCAAAATCTTCTGCTTCTTCATCAAAGTCGTCCTCGTCGAGATTAACTGATTTGCTCTGTTGATGATGCCGTTGACAAAACAGTCCACTCTGACCAGCTTCTGAATGAAGGACCTGTACCGCTCCAGGTAGAACTTCTTGACCGCAACAACGCTTTCTCGCTTCACTTACATTCACAGCACAGACTGAAGAGTCATCCCTGCTGTTGTGGCAATCCTGGAGAAGATTTATGACCACTGCATCGTCTTTAAGACTGTTCAACATTTTTGCTTGATGCATGTCAGCAACGGCATGGTCTCTCTCAAGTTGACTGCCATAACAAGTGCTTTTACTGACAAAACGATTTATATCTATGGAATTCTGCGAGAGACCATTTTTTAGACAGATAATTTCCTTTTTGCTTTTTTTCTTTCGGCAAAAAGTTGGCAACTCTCTGCTTATGCAAGAATCAGTTTGCCAAAATTGTAGCATTAACGTTACGGCACGAAGCCAAGAACCTTTAAAGTCGTGAACGCCTAGGCTAATCCTGTCGTCAGCTTGCATAACACCACCTTTCCACTTTTTCTTTTCCTTGAATGCAACAGCAACTTGCGCCTTGCAATGAACAGTGGAGGCATCCGTGTTGAATCCTACATGTACAATGGCAGAGAGCGGCGAGGTTTCACTGAAGTTGATCTCATCAACAAAAGTATGTAATTCTTTAGGACTGACCATCAGTCCGTGCGACTTTTGTTCCGTAGATACATCCACATCAGGAAAGTGTAGAAATCCTTGAAACCTGTGCATAGTTGTTCCGCCACTATTACGGGCGTTGTTGAGGTCTTGGAATTCGATTCTCTGGACTGGGCAATTTTGGAACTCGATTTCTCTCGACTTCTTATCTCTTGGCGCAAGCAGACGCAAAAATTGTCTATTGGCTCTGACGCCTTCTTCAGTAGCGCCACAAGTGAATGGCAGTGGAGGCACAACTCGACTCTCTTGCAGCGGTAACAGAGCATTCAGTCCTCCTGATCTGGAATCCATTACCACTAATTTGAACGATGTGGTCATCAAAACACCTTCATCTATGGTCGGACTGCTTCTGCAGGTCAAAATCATCCTTATTAATTTAATTCCATTGCGTAATTGAAAGATCACTTTATTCATCTCAAGATGTCCTGGATTCCCAATGCAATCCGCAATTTTTGCCGCACCATCAGAACGTACCGTCAATTTAGGTTCGAACTCATCGCTAAATGTTGCTGCTCTGCACACGCGCAGTAGGTTATCTTGAAGAGACGTCACTAGAACCACCGGTAGAAGTCTGTTCGCTGTACTGCCTTGAAAATGACAGGTATCTTGAGAACTGTTATTAAGACGAATGACGTCTTCTGCTACAGACTCAAGGCTAACGAGGTGAATGCGCAGCCTCCGTAAACCTAACATCCTTCGAACTTCAAATGTCAGAAATCTCTCTCTCATCAGATTGATATTGAAAAGGAGAACGCTTGTCGTTTGCGATGGTTGCTTTTGAGTCACATTCGTCCTGACCAGGGTTATGCTACAGAGAAAATATGGTTGAGATAATAAATTTCTAATCTGCTATTTGATTTTCGTAAGACGGACTCCTTTGAGACCAGCATTGTGTCCGTCTTAGACAGAGTCAACTTAAAGGAATGCATAGAAAGGCAGAGTCCAATGCAACTCTGGGTGTGTACGTCTATATAGAGGTGTCCGTTAAAAGAGAGTTGACTGCAATTCATAACCTTTGCAATTGGCCATTTATTAGGGGAAAACCTGCTTGACCCAATCGTCCTTTTTTGAACCGTTTTTCAGCCAGTTAGCATGGGAATGGCGACAAAGGAAATTTCCAGCAATAATGACATAATTTCCTGCTATCTGGGTGTAATAAAAGCAGCGTTTTCTGTTTCTGAGTGTATGCTCGTAAGCCAAAATTTGGACTTTTGTGAGTCTATTTCTATATTTTTTATCCCTCCCTCCTTTTTTACTTTAATTGCTTTTATTTTAATATCCAGTTTTTGCCCACTTTATCGTCTTTCTTTCGCAAGTAATTTTAACTGCTTTCCCTTCCAAGAAAGAGATAAATCTAATCGATGTTAGCTAAATGTCTCCTGTTTTTTGTCTGTTACTCTGTCAGAATTGGTCAAAATCTGCTAAATAAGATACCAGTGGAAATATCTAACCTCGCTAATTTTGCTAATTACCATCTTAATGGTTTATGCAAAGCTGAATGGGTCCAGGAAGAATAATACGAAATACCAAAAATAATAACGATAATACCAAAAACTGTACTACCAAAGCGGACGACATAGAGAGTTAATTAGTCTCTTGTCGCGTCCAAAAAATATATATATACAGACATCCCTTCTTTTTACATTTACCATGGAGTTCGCAGTTACTGTCCATATTACTGGGGTGTCCGTAATAGCAAGGAGACGAAAGGTCACTGTATAAGATTGCGCGCGTCCAAATATATAAGAATAATACATATCTTACCTTCTACACCTTTTCCAGTTAACACAAATCACTCCTGTTACCGCAACTAAAGCAGCAAAAATGTATAACATAATTGGCATCCATTGATATGCTGTGGGGAAATAAAAACGGATACCAACTGTGAGGTCAGTGTATATCGTAAGAGTTCTTCTTAACTGTCTGTGCACTCCACTCAGTCAATTACCTCGCTTAGGGGAGTACCCTAGGAAGATTTTGGTATCATACTTGGACGATAGGGTGTTTAGGCTTTTAATAAACGGTTGCATAGAAAATTGATTTCCTGCTTTATTACAAGCTCGTTCCCAGAGCAAGAGGGGAGGATCATGCCTGAGAAGGTTGGTTTTATTACAATCTCACATATAGGGCAAATAGTTACTAAGCCACGTCCGAATTGACCTCCACTAGATTGAGCTTTAATTCTACTTTTCCGACGCGCATTCCTGTCCAATTTCGTATAGGAGATACCCACTAGAAAGGGCCTCAAATCCACTGACCACATTTTCACCTTCCACGACTTGAAAGAAGGCTACGGCAACGTTATAACAGCATCCCGACTATAATTTAGGGTCGCGGTGTACGATATAAGAGTTTTCTGAATACCATTTATGGTTACCGGGTAAGATACAACATCATTCAGGTTACGATATAAGTTTACCGAGTACAATACAACACCTTTCAGGTTACTATGTCATCTTACCGAGTACGAAACAACAGCATGCAAGTTACGATCTATGCCGCTACCGGGTACGATACTTTAGCATTGGAGTACGATATAATTCTATTCTGGTTACGATATGAGGTTACCGAGTACGACATAACAGTGTTACAGTTACAATACAACATAACCGAGTACGACATAACGGCATACCGGGTACGTTAAGACAGTATACGGGCAAATTCGATACAATACATCTTATGGTACGATACAATAACATTCTTGTCCAGGATTCCCCTCAATACTCAACAAGACCTCAAATTTACGAGAACAAATAAAGTACTGTACTGAATATATCAAGTTCAAGAAAGCTTACAGTCTTTCACAAAGACCTCAAGTTTGTTGATTCATAAAGAGAGAGGTAAACGGCTGAAATGGTCTCTAAATTGGTTCTCAGTAGCCCTTTTGAGTGCAAGGCTAATGTATTTTATTCGTTTCTAAACTAAGCTAACGAATTATTTTGAAACATTCGTATTCTTCTAGCAAATTATGTTCCGAAAAGTTCCATTTTCGAAGAAGGAAAAATAGAGGTTCGAAAGGCATAGCTGAATGACATAGAAATTTTACAAGTAGAGCAATATATCTGAGCGCGCATGCTTTTCCGACCCGCTGTATTTCTGGCATCCTCCAGGGTCGGGTTGCAAAATCATCTTAAGATTAAGGGAACTCGTAACAAGTATTTCAAAACAAGAGGTTATTGTTCCAGAACAAAAGTTAAGAGCCCGTTTNATATAAGTTTACCGAGTACAATACAACACCTTTCAGGTTACTATGTCATCTTACCGAGTACGAAACAACAGCATGCAAGTTACGATCTATGCCGCTACCGGGTACGATACTTTAGCATTGGAGTACGATATAATTCTATTCTGGTTACGATATGAGGTTACCGAGTACGACATAACAGTGTTACAGTTACAATACAACATAACCGAGTACGACATAACGGCATACCGGGTACGTTAAGACAGTATACGGGCAAATTCGATACAATACATCTTATGGTACGATACAATAACATTCTTGTCCAGGATTCCCCTCAATACTCAACAAGACCTCAAATTTACGAGAACAAATAAAGTACTGTACTGAATATATCAAGTTCAAGAAAGCTTACAGTCTTTCACAAAGACCTCAAGTTTGTTGATTCATAAAGAGAGAGGTAAACGGCTGAAATGGTCTCTAAATTGGTTCTCAGTAGCCCTTTTGAGTGCAAGGCTAATGTATTTTATTCGTTTCTAAACTAAGCTAACGAATTATTTTGAAACATTCGTATTCTTCTAGCAAATTATGTTCCGAAAAGTTCCATTTTCGAAGAAGGAAAAATAGAGGTTCGAAAGGCATAGCTGAATGACATAGAAATTTTACAAGTAGAGCAATATATCTGAGCGCGCATGCTTTTCCGACCCGCTGTATTTCTGGCATCCTCCAGGGTCGGGTTGCAAAATCGTCTTAAGATTAAGGGAACTCGTAACAAGTACTTCAAAACAAGAGGTTATTGTTCCAGAACAAAAGTTAAGAGCCCGTTTGTCTGAGAAGGTTTTATGCAGCCTGGCCCAGGGCCGGGTTGTTGAAAGCTGAGTTAAGATAACCCAGGGCTAGTGCAAAATTTGAATTCAGACATGAAAGCGTTAAAAGCAAATTCAGTTTCATTCTCTTTGTGAACAACTTGATGTTGAATGCTTTAAAAAAATTGATAAAAATAATCCGAGAAAACCGGGATTAAAAATTAACCCCGGGTTAGCACTAATTGGCTTTCGCACGGTTGTTGCTTAAAAGGCGGATAACAATATATCCACTGGATAAATCTTTATCAAGTAGTACTGGACAACGCAATTGGTTTTCTTATCCCCTGGATAGTGATCTATCCGATGGATAGCTCTATCAAACTTTTAAACAACCGGGGGGAAGTTGATTCTTTTTAATTACATATTTCTAGGAGACGGTTACTTTGTGTATTAAACGAGCGCAATTAACTACGTCATAAATACGTCATCAAAGGTGATAAATAATAATGCCTTTGCCGTTTTTTGTACGTCAACAAACAGTAAAACAACAGCAACAACTGTCTGTTTTTATCGTCTTTCAGTGTCAGAAATCATTATTGCTATGCAGTGTTTAATAATCATTTGAGGCAGTTGAAATCCTTATCCGAGGGCCGTAGCGCTGAAATTATGGAATTCCGCTCAGTTCTGAGGAACGCAAAATTTAGTTTTCAAGCTAAAAAAAAACAACAACAAAGTTTCGGTGAATTTCATGAAAAAATAAATCTTTTCCTTTCCTGCTTAAGTATTTTTTTTAAGGAATTTCCTGTCCGTCTGAATAACGTTAATTTGTTACGTCAGCAACTTTTCACCAATTTTAGAGCTTCGATGTGCATGGCTTGGGGGATACTCAAACCGTGAGAGTAATATACAGTGAATGTAATAAATGATTTTTTTTATCAGCGTGTAATGTAAAGAAGAAAAAACGGTTTTGACTCACCCTTCAACTCTACGAAGTCAGCCATGTAACCTCGTGCTATAAAACACATAAATGTGAAAATTAAGCCAAAAATGTTTAACAGTAATATAAACCCAGCCATGTTCAGGCAGGAAATTTGCAATCTAATTAGTTCACGTCATAAATCAGTCTCAATACAAAAAATACCTTACTAATTACGGATACTATAAATTAGCCTCAATGAAGAGTTACGTCATTAAAGAGCTAGTGCTCAGGGCTCTTTTTCCGTCAACTGATTTATCGATCGGTCAATTTAGGACAATTCCGCGCAATCGCCTGTTTTCTCAGTCCCGTGAGGACACGCAACGCGCGCCAAGCAAGAAGCCAACTCTGCGAAGATCTCACAGGACTGAGAAAACAATAAAGAAATAACAGTTACAATGTACTACATGAGCTCTAAAGCTGTGCTATTGAAGAACCAATGAAACCAGAAATTCTAGAGAGTTGTGCACCAGCTATTGCTCGTGTCCCATACGAGATTTCGAGAGTATTAACGCCATTAAAGAGCTCTTGCACAGGGCCCTTCTTCACCATTTACAAGTATAACTAGAATTAATCAGGGATTAATAAGTGCGTTCGAACATTGGTCATTGGTCGATAACACATGCCATATTCGCTTCTTCAGTTGTAGATAGACTAACGCACTTTCTGCACGCGTCAGAAGAAGTAAACAAATTCTTGATAAGTGTATTAGACCTATTCAAAAAACATTGCATTTACTTCCAAAAAGGCTTGAGTTTAAACTTACTGAGCGCAGACGAAGAATATAATTATAATTTGTGATGTAAATACTAATTTTTAACTTCTTGTAATATTTTAGTATGTAAAAGAATTATTTACCGTACCATGATTGCTTTCGACTTTAGGAGAACGCAACCTAAACTGAACGCGAGAAGCCTGGGCAGAAGGAATCTAGATTTAAGATTTTAGGTTGGTTCAACTACCGGAAATACGTCATAGCCTCCATCGGCAAGGTGCGCGCCCATCTAAAAGGATCTGAATGTGCGCGAATGTTTTTTCTTTTACGTGCAGCTTTGCTCATTTTCTATCAATCAATCAATCAATAAACTTAATTTATCCACGGTAGTAATTAAAGCTGAAAAGCTTATGTGGCCGAACCAAAAAAAAGAAGAAATGCAAAACTACTATTATTATCATTGTACGGTAAATAATTTTTGCACGTACTAAAATATTGCAAGTTTTAAATATTACATTCGCGCACATTCTGATCCTTTTAGATGCTAGCACACCTTGCCCTTGGAGGCTGTGACTTATTCCCGGTAGTTGAACCAACCTAAAATCGAGATTCTTTCTGCTAATAAATGCTTGTGCCGAGGCTTCTCGCGTTCACTTTAGGTTGTGTTCTCTAAACTTCGAACACAATTAGTAGTCCCATATTTTTGCCTATGATTGCTGGAATATCGGTTCAAGACAAGAAGCCCACACAGGCGGTACGTAACTTTTACAAGATTTCACAGGAGGCCCAATAAGAACAAAATAATCAAACAACAGCCTGAACAACAGTAACAATGCAGCCTGCGTACAGCCACCGCCTCCCCTTTTGTTTGAGGGGAAGGGGTTGCTGTACACAGGATACAACATTAACTAAGCCTAAAACAGTAGAGCTGTGTGCTATCGAGGATCCAGTGAAATGAGAGATTCTAGGAAGCCCACAGCCCACTGGCAGGGTTAGTTAGAAATAAAAGGTGCAGCTTCTCGCTATTGTTACACTGACGAAGCTGTAGTCTGAGATGGCGGAACAATGGCCAGCAAGTTACTGAAAAAAAAAAGGGAAAAAAGACCGATGGTTCGTCCAGATGCCTATTTGAACGGTGGAGTTACAAACACATAGTACAACAAGCTCAGTAGCTCTCAGTGGCCTTTTTTTTAACACGGCCTGCTCTTTGCCATTTTTCACAGGGACCCCGAACGCGAGCGCGGTAGGGACCAAATTTTGCTGGAATGCGTAACTCAGAATAGAGCATTTTAACTCACTTGGGTAGCGGATATGCAAATTTATTGGGGAAAATAGGAAGGGTTTACGTAACAAAAACTGCAACAACGGGGCAACATGGCCGCAGTTTTTTTGTTTTTGGACACCAATATGGCGGACGTGATATCATGTGAAAAAGGCCATTTTGGAGAGATAGCCAGCACTTTAGCACTGTTACTCTAAATGGGAGATGAGGCTCCGGGATAATATGCTCCTGTCCTATTTGTCCGACCATATGATAAGCCGTAGAACCCGGGCACGTGAAAAGCGTAACTATTTTTCCAAGTTGAAAGGCAAAACCATGACTATAAACTATTAATTAGCCTGTAGCCTAGTCTCTATCAAAGATCCCGGGAGAAGTATAAAAACACACAAATGAAAACAGCAACAACAACAACAAGCATAATAGTCCAGCGAAGAGAAGAAGATCAAGACCGTGACGCAAAGGAAATTAAAAAATTAACGATACAGTCCTTTGGGTTCCTGTATGTCAGCCAGCGAACGCAGACGTATTTTCGGTCGTCACTTCAATTCTCTTCATCCAAAAAGTAACCTTTTGGGTGCAAAGAAGCGACGACCACGGAAATACCTCTACAGCCGTGGTTTTTGTGCTCCAAACCGAGATTATTTTGGGAACTGCTCTGCTGTTTTCCTTTTTCTTTTCTCTCCTTTTTTGGGGAAGGGTTAAGTTCCGGTCGCGTCGCGCAGCGACTTGTAGAGACTTTAAGATCCAACGACGCGACGGCGACAAGAACGTTGCTTAAAAAGTGAATTTGCGTTCTTCCAGTCTTTATAGTGATTATTCCTACCCACTTACTTTGTCAATTGTAGTCGAACCCTTCTAAGCTGAATTTCAAGGGACCATAGTCAAGCTCAGAAAGGGAAATAAAATTTCGCCGTTGCTTGCCGAGTTACGTCCTCCATAAAACGCGAAATTAGTCATTTTCACAACGTAGTCGTGCCAAAACGGGAAAGAAATGTACAAAAAAGTGTGATGCGCGTGCGAAGTTGTTGTTTTGCTAATTAAACCCATTGTTTTTTTAACTTTCTCGTTGTCGTCCGCGTCCTCAAAAAGTCCCTTGTGTCTTGTCCCCGCGCGCTTTCATATAACGCGCGGTACTGGAGACGAGTGGGATAGTGTTGTTCTCTGCCAACATGGCTGCTCAAAGCTCAGGCAGCCAAACTTCTACCGGCTCAACCAGGGCGTTTGCCCAGAAACTGAACAAGTAAGTCCAAAAATTGTTGCCTTGAAGATTATGAAAAGTCGAGAATTTTTGTTAATTGTGATTTGCATCTTTGCTTTTGTCTAGATTTCGAAGGAATGGGTCGACCTCTTTCGGCACGCAAACAAGTTTCACTAAGTCACCGTCGGTTTCGAGCTCTTTCCTCCATTTCGCTACCGGAACGGTAAGTCATTTCTGAAATAGTGTGGGTATAAAGTGAAAGAAGATTTTGTTTTGATATCCCTTGAGGCGTCTTTGAAATTTGTAGCTTCAATAAACGGCAGTGTTTGTGGGAAGATTAATATAAGATGGTGGTGGGACATTGTACTGTGGCTGTATATTAATTACACTGAACGGAAATCGACAATGAATTGTATTATTTTATGTTACTTCAATTACTTAACGAAACAAAATATTGGGTCTTAAGTTTACAAGAGTAGTCCTTTAGCGTTCTTAAGTTAAATTTAAACAACAACTGAATTGCAGGAGATTACACATGACGTATGATCGAAGCGGGGGACAGGAAGTAAAGCAACACTAATCTATTCTTTTTTAGGTCATAAGAATTTTCCTAACTTCCGTTGTCCTTTTGTGTCAGTATTGAAGTATTCTTTTAAACTGTTTACTAAAGATTATCTAAAGTTATATATTGTGCCAAAACGTTTTATCTCAAATTATGTAATATTGTCTTTCATTTGTGAGTCATTTGTAAAGGGTCTAAGAGAAATGAAGACATTTCATACATGAATTTTTTTGTGTCCAGCATTTAGTTGGCTTTTGAAAATCGATTCCCTTGAATATAAAATCATTGACATTCCACAGGATTATTATCAATGTCATGCAACTGGACAGTGAATCAAAACCATTGAATTACTGAAGTCAAGAATTCTAGGAAAGAACTTGATAACATACATTGTCTGTGATTTCTGTCGCTGAGAGACCCCAAAGGTATTCCCACCATCTGTTGTCATCTCTTGTCCAACCACCTTTACATGAAATCCCAGATATTCCCCTGCAGGGAACTAATTTTGGGGTGAGACTGTAAGATCCAAGCCTGGAAAGGGTGAGAGCTCTCTCACATTAGTTGAAGGTGAAAAGGTATTATTATGTGAGCACCTCACAATAGGGCACTAGGTTCTTAGTCCGTAAATGAGTTATCATCATCATCAAAATCATCATCATCATCATCATCATCATCATCACTATCTGGCGAAAAAGAAGCAAAACTACCCAAAACGTCGTTTGCAAGTTGGAGCACTACATGGGCATTTGCTCCTGGCTATAAATACAGCTTTCGAAGTTCTAGGATGTGCAGTCAAAATCTTGTCAGAAGGCTGCACTTCTCCTTAAACTCTTACTTTTTGCATTCTGTCTCCCCTGCAAGCTTCTGACACTTTTGTTCCTCTGTTCAAGCAGCCCGTAGAATTATAACAAAATATATATATTTATGCATCTTGCTTTTTATTGCAGATTCCTCTTAATGAGGTCGTGGAGCCTCCTGAGTTCGAGGAGATTGTGATGGCAAACCAGCCTTTCAACGAGAATGACCCCAAGAGTAAAATGCTGGAATTTCCAGATGATGATATGGAGGTCACCACTATCCCTAGGCAGTGTCGCACAGTGTTGCCATGCTTTCCTAAGGAGTTAGGGTACATGACTATAATTTATTAGTAATGGTTATAATGAAGGTAGATCTTAAGCGAATTATGAAGCTATAATGACAACGATAATAGGAACGTTGAAAGTGCATCCACTTTGCACAAAGTGCTTGATCCTTTCCTGTAAAGTTTTTCTCAGAAAAAAAAGAATCCTTCATCACGTGAATAGGAAAACTTGGTACATTTGTATCTATGTCTGTAGTCTGAATTTGAAGAGGAAGCCGTAACTCCATAATTATACTTTTCTTTGTTACTCTCACAGTTTCAATTCATCTGCATTTCCTTTGTTGCCATGTCATCTATTAATTTATGTCAGTGTTTTGAAGGTGAAATTGCTTGTCAGAATGTCAATTAACAGATGATGATATAGACTGGTACTTAAAAACTAACAGGAAACAGTTGTAGTGTTTGGTTTGTCTGTTTGGTTAGTTTTATGTACTGTAGCAGTTAATTCAAGATTCCTTTTTAATGCAGAATTGAGAACAACCCACAGCTCAAAGACAGCATTCATTGTTATTCTGCTGACTGGGCAATTGTTAATCGCAGGTAATGCAATTTAGAAGAAGGAGAATTCTAACACTAGAAAGCAGGGTATTAAACTCATGACCCTCCAAGTTCTAGTTCAGATGAGTGGGATGGAGGGCAAATTGACTAAATCCGGGGAAGATCCCATGACTTGCCACTTGCCATAAAACCACGCTTTTCACAAATGTGTGCATTATGAGGTCAGTTCAAAAGCCAGCTAACGAATGCATTTTCCACTGCCGTCAATCAACTTAGTGGACCTCTTAGGAAACAAAACTTTACTTAAACTGGTTCAAAAGGTCATGGTTTGTGAACTGTGATTGGTGGATTTTGATCTGTTTTGTGTGTTTCTGTGTTTCAAGGTTTGTTGCTTGTGATCATAACCATGATTGACGGCAGCGAAAAATGCAAGGCAGGTTATGAACTGTAGAGTTCGAATGTTTGTGAAAAGCGCAGTAAGCGCTTATTTATTTCAAGCCCTTTTTAATGAGGGGGGTGGGGCTTTATAGAGATGGGGGGCTTATTTTATTTAGAAAAGACAATAGTATCAGTTCTCCATAAAGGACTACGATACAAAGTGGAAAAGCTTAAGTACAAGAAGGTTGGAGGTCATGCAGCCAAGGATTAGAATCAAATCCAAACTTCAAGTTTTCAACAATCTTTGATCAGTCTACATGAAGTTTTACAGTCGTGATTGATTAATACAGTCTATCATTTATTAGTGAAGAATAATTAGGGGAGGGGAGGGGGGGGGCTTATTAACTTTCATCCCCTGAAAAGGGAGACTTCTTAGAGGGAGGGAGCTTATTTGAGAGGGAGGGAGGGCTTAATAGAGGATTTACAGTGTGTTTATTACTGAAACACAGAGAAGGGAAACTGGTTAACTGCCTGGAAAAAAGGTTTTAGAGGTAGAATAGTCAACAACTGAACAAATGGTATAATAACGTTTTCGCTGAGATTTAGTATCATGTTTATGGTAAACAGCAAACATCAGATTCAAATTGACAATTTACTAAAATAGGAAATGAGCAGATAAAAACTGTAAACTGCATGTATGTATGTCCACTTACTGGTGAGAAACTTCTTGTTTTGTGGACATAATGAACAGTGAACATCAAGTAAAGGAAGTAAATGAAGTGGTAGTGTTTGCCTTTGCCGTAAACATTATTCTAAATCTCTTTAATGACTGTCATCTAATATTACTTGCAATCAGATATCAGTTTCGCTCTTCCGATGAAGGAAGACCAGATTCAAGACGTCGAATAGTGCGATCACCAAGCTTTGTTAAGTCACTGCCAAGCCAAGTTTATGAAATTGATGAAAAGGCAAAGTTACAAGAGCAGGTAAGAATAAGAATTAATGCTTGAATTTACTGCTGCTGTATTTACACCCATCTAAAAATACTGGAGTTTTTCTCTGTTATTACCTTGTGTTAGTCAAACACCTTACATTAATTTTTATATGTGCTCAATTAAACTTTTTGCATAATGAATGATGGGATCAATTTAGCTTTCTGGGGAACTGCCCACCTACCCCTCCCCTAACTCAATGTTAACATTTACTTCTCACTTGGGGCAAAATGTTGGGTTTTGGGAGGGGTGGGTGGGCAGTTTCCCAGAACCTAAATTGAGCCGAATGATGCATGGTCAATTGCTCAGTCGGATGAGTACTGGTCTGCCAAATTACAGATCTTGAGTTTAACCTTAGCTGGACCAAAATTCATGGTCTTAAAATAACTTTGGAGAAAGTGCTGCCTTTGAAATGACATCAGGCCCCAGTTGTTCAAACATTGGATAGCGCTATCCACCGGATAAATCACTATCCAGCGGATAGCGTAATTGATTTCTGTAATACTTATCCGCGGGATAGTGATTTATCCGGTGGATAGCGCTATCCGACGTTTGAACAACCGGGGCCAGTTCAATAAATAATCAATTTCTCTAGTGTTCCCAGTCAAGGATGATAAACCATGATTGGCCCATCTCGCAACCTAATTGCTGATATAAAATCTGTGGGACATTAAAGAACCCACATGCTGTTTGTAAACAGTTAGGGGATGTACAGTACAGTAGTGGCTGCTGTGGTGGTCTAACTCTGCCATCAGGTGGTCAGCCTGGCTGGATTCTTTTGAGGGGCTTCTGAGCAAGTGAGACCACAATCACAAATGGCAGCCATAAGTCTGAAGGTTATGTGCTGGATGTTGGAACCCTAATTAACAGGGCTTCTGATACTTTGCGCGGTCGCGGAGCAGCGAAATTCTGGTAAATCCTCAAAATCCCGCGAAATTTACAAAAACACGAAAAATACCGCGAAATTAAATTTTTGGTAGAAATCTTATCAAATACATGTCTGTACAACATATTTGAAACTTATTTCAGCGATAGGGGCTATACACTTGCCGTAAACTTGCAAATTTATCTTGGAACTTCATCACTGAAACGTGCAAACAATGTCCCGAAACTACCAGGTGTAGATTAAGTTGCGAAAAACTGGGCAATAGCCATGATGTTAAAGGCTTTGCCATTGGTTCATTTCTGGAGCGTATTGTTGTTGAAAGAGCAAGTGATGACCTCTGTTAGAAAAACGTTAAAAATGCTGGTCTGATCAGCGCAAAACCGATCGATTTCTAGCAAAATTTGCCTTGAAAATAACCACAAAGTAGAAATTCCCGCGAAATCAGCCGATTTTTCCGCGAATTTGTCCCTAAAAATCCCACAAAATTTGACTTTTTCTTCCGTGGCCTATCAGAAGCCCTGAATTGAGGAACTCAAGAACTTAGGAGTCATTTACCCTAAGTTGTTGTGAAAGGAACCTTTGTAGAATACACATACAGGGAACAAAGTGTATTCCCTTGAACTTCAGTTGAAATTTATTTTACCTACAGGGTAAAAGTGGTTCACAGCAAAAACTAGCACCACCCTCTAAGGAAGACAGCTTACCAAGGGGTAGCTGGGCATCAAGGTAATTAGTCTAATATTGTTCTGTGAACATTTCATTTTTTTTTTTAGATGATATCTCATCAATAATTCTAAGCTTATAAAATTACATGTACATGTAATAGTCTGTAGATTATTTCTAGTGCAATTTGAACCCACAGTGTTATGTCTTCTATGTTCACACAACAAAAGTAAAATCAAAAGTTTCAGGCCTTGTCTCTAAACCCTAATAATTATTATTTGTATATCTTATAATTCATAACATTTTTTGGCTTTAGGATAATATCATGGGTGATGTATTAATTACTCCTTTATTTTAGGGCGAAATTTCAGCGATATTTCTAATTTCACTTGTGAAATTACCAAATTGCCATGGCAACCTTCTGTACGTCTCAGTGCCAAGATGATGACAAAGCTTAAAAGTTTTATCAATGAAGATGTTAGGGCATGCAAAATTTCAGCGATATTAATTTTCTGATTTCACAGGTGAAATTACAAAATTGCCATGGCAACCTTCTGTATGTCTCAGAGCCAAGATGATGACAAAGTCTAAAAATTTTTATGAATAAAGATGTCAGGGCATTAAAAAAATGCTTTAGAAAACCTTAACACAGGAAAGAGCACATCAAGAAGGATTCTAACAAATATTTTGTTGAAATATTCGGAAAATTCTGAACTTGAGCAAAATTTAAGCTGTAAACGTTTAAGATCGCGGAGTTCTTGATCGATATGATAAAACCAGGATAAACATTTCAAAAATCCACTATTGCGAATGAATTCATCATTTTGATCCATGATATGAATAGGTATTTTATCAAATGGTATACTTGTGAAATAAGGGAATTACAGTCAACTCTCTCTAAGACGGACACCTTTGGGGCCGGCACTAGCTGTCTGTCTTAGAGAGATGTCCGTCTTAAAGAAAGTCAAATAGAGGGAGCTAAGAAAGGCAGGGACCAACTCTAGGTGTCCGTTTTACAGAGGTGTCCGTCTTATAGAGGTGTCCGTTAAGAGAGAGTCGACTGTATTTCACTTGAGTTTTGTCCAAATCCTAATAATTTCCTGAGCCTTTAGTTAGTTAAGTTAATTAGTTTAGTAAATTATAAGAATTTGGACAAGACGCATGTGAAATTATTCCCTAATTTCACTCGTCACCATTTGATTACACATACTTATGTTACACCTCTTTGCAGTGCTACTGTAGTCTGTAGAATAACATGTATGATCACATTTCATCACTAATCACACCTGTTACTTGTGATTTATACCCTATATTCTGTATTCCTTTCATCAGCATTTTTGACCTGCAGTCATGCAACCCTGATTCTCTGCTGCCAACTGTTCTTGAACGCACTCCAGGGGACGAGGTGGATCGTGCAAATGAAGAAGATCGCCAGCTTCACAGGATACACTCTTTATTTTCCATATATCCCATTCAGCAGGTATAATTCAGGGCTGTCTTTACGGGGGCTATGTCATTATGGATATTGCTGTTTTGGGTCAATTCTGTGCTGAAGTCATTACCGGTAATAACTGTATATACTGGCAACTTGAAAACGTCTTTAAAATAACGTTGGATAGCACTATCCAGTGGATAAGTATTAGGGAATCCAATTACGTCATGCACTGGATAGAGATTTATTTGATGGACAACGTTATCCATCTTTCGAATAACTGGGCCCTGTTCATGATCTATTTTTCAGGAGGAGGGAATAGAAAAGAGAGTTCCTGCCACTATTCCTCAGGAACATTTTGGGCAGAGAATTTTGGTCAAGTGTCTTCAACTCAAGTGAGTTATTTTGTCTGGAGGTAATGTGATATTTGCATTGTGGTAAAATACTTGGTAACACATGTTCTAATTTTCTTTTATTTTCTAACTTAAGGCTTGAGTTGGAAGTTGAACCAATATTTGCTACAATGGCTTTGTATGATGGCAGGTTGAAGAAAAAGGTACTTGTGCTTCAATGTGAAGCTTAATACATGTAGTTTAAAACTCATCCAGACCCCATTAATATGTATTTATACCTGGCAAGAGCCTTGAGTGGGGGCAATTTTGGACAACTTGTAATCCAGCCATACATGTACTTTTTCATGGTGTGGCGGTTTGCAACAAAATTGGTCCGCACAAGTCTTGACGAAAATTTGTCCAGTGCTCAAATGTTGCTAATTGTCCAGAGCAGTTGAGTCTTTGTTTAATAAGTTTATGAGCAATTTTCCAAACAAGACTTACATCCCCAGACAAGTGAGTATAAAAAGTTACTAGGTTATAACTATTAGTTTTAGCACAACTATAGCACAACATAAACATTACACTTTTTGGACCTACAGTACCATTCAATAATAAGTTACAAACGTCATCTGGCTTCTTGCGAGACGAGTGTCTTGTTGTTTCGTTGTTGAGTGCTAAACATTCCGAATACATTTGATCCTTGCAGTTTTTAAAGCCTCTCGCGAGACTAGAGTCTTGTCTCTCGAGACAAGACGTATGTCTCCTGAGAGGGTTGTAACTTACTTTTGAGCGGTAACACCATACATGTCTTTGACGTCCTCTGCCAATTATGACGTGAAATTTGCTAATGAGATTTTTAATAAAGGATATGTATTTCCCTTAATCTCATTTTGAACTTGAATACAGAAAAGATTATCTAGATTTGATAACCTGAGTGAGGCTAATGCAATACAGTTTGAAAGGATGCAAATTCCCTTTTTTCAGTGATGCTTTCACTGCGAGGTTGTCTTCATGGCTACATGCTTAAGCTCTCCCTGATAATTAATTTTTTCCAGTCTTCATAGCCAATAATAAGCCTGAACTGACAGATGACCAATAACATCGCGGCATAATTGACCAGTCTGCCCCAACCAAAGTTTAATACCATCAGCTGACATGATACAACTCACTTTGACTCTGAAGATGACTATCACTTAGCTTGTTGAAATGTCAGTCACTGTTAACAACAGTCCTATTCAGGACGATGTCATCCGGACAATCATGCTCAGCCTATAGTACTTATGAAATGTTTCTGCGTTTTTTCAATCCTTACTGCTACAGATATCAGAAAATTTCCACTTTGACATGAACAGTGAGTGGTGCAGAAAACTGGTCAAAGAACACAATCCTCGCACAGATATCTCCACTCTGAGCCGGTCTGCTATATTCTCCATCACATACCCCTCATCAGATGTATTTCTTGTCATCAAGTTGGAGAAAGTTCTGCAGCAAGGAGACATAAGTGAATGTGCAGAACCATACCTGAAGGACACTGAAAATTCCAAGGTAGAAACAGTTGTAGTGTTTGGTTTGTCTGTTTGGTTAGTTTTATGTACTGTAGCAGTTAATTCAAGATTCCTTTTTAATGCAGAATTGAGAACAACCCACAGCTCAAAGACAGCATTCATTGTTATTCTGCTGACTGGGCAATTGTTAATCGCAGGTAATGCAATTTAGAAGAAGGAGAATTCTAACACTAGAAAGCAGGGTATTAAACTCATGACCCTCCAAGTTCTAGTTCAGATGAGTGGGATGGAGGGCAAATTGACTAAATCCGGGGAAGATCCCATGACTTGCCACTTGCCATAAAACCTCGCTTTTCACAAATGTGTGCATTATGAGGTCAGTTCAAAAGCCAGCTAACGAATGCATTTTCCACTGCCGTCAATCAACTTAGTGGACCTCTTAGGAAACAAAACTTTACTTAAACTGGTTCAAAAGGTCATGGTTTGTGAACTGTGATTGGTGGATTTTGATCTGTTTTGTGTGTTTCTGTGTTTCAAGGTTTGTTGCTTGTGATCATAACCATGATTGACGGCAGCGAAAAATGCAAGGCAGGTTATGAACTGTAGAGTTCGAATGTTTGTGAAAAGCGCAGTAAGCGCTTATTTATTTCAAGCCCTTTTTAATGAGGGGGGTGGGGCTTTATAGAGATGGGGGGCTTATTTTATTTAGAAAAGACAATAGTATCAGTTCTCCATAAAGGACTACGATACAAAGTGGAAAAGCTTAAGTACAAGAAGGTTGGAGGTCATGCAGCCAAGGATTAGAATCAAATCCAAACTTCAAGTTTTCAACAATCTTTGATCAGTCTACATGAAGTTTTACAGTCGTGATTGATTAATACAGTCTATCATTTATTAGTGAAGAATAATTAGGGGAGGGGAGGGGGGGGGCTTATTAACTTTCATCCCCTGAAAAGGGAGACTTCTTAGAGGGAGGGAGCTTATTTGAGAGGGAGGGAGGGCTTAATAGAGGATTTACAGTGTGTTTATTACTGAAACACAGAGAAGGGAAACTGGTTAACTGCCTGGAAAAAAGGTTTTAGAGGTAGAATAGTCAACAACTGAACAAATGGTATAATAACGTTTTCGCTGAGATTTAGTATCATGTTTATGGTAAACAGCAAACATCAGATTCAAATTGACAATTTACTAAAATAGGAAATGAGCAGATAAAAACTGTAAACTGCATGTATGTATGTCCACTTACTGGTGAGAAACTTCTTGTTTTGTGGACATAATGAACAGTGAACATCAAGTAAAGGAAGTAAATGAAGTGGTAGTGTTTGCCTTTGCCGTAAACATTATTCTAAATCTCTTTAATGACTGTCATCTAATATTACTTGCAATCAGATATCAGTTTCGCTCTTCCGATGAAGGAAGACCAGATTCAAGACGTCGAATAGTGCGATCACCAAGCTTTGTTAAGTCACTGCCAAGCCAAGTTTATGAAATTGATGAAAAGGCAAAGTTACAAGAGCAGGTAAGAATAAGAATTAATGCTTGAATTTACTGCTGCTGTATTTACACCCATCTAAAAATACTGGAGTTTTTCTCTGTTATTACCTTGTGTTAGTCAAACACCTTACATTAATTTTTATATGTGCTCAATTAAACTTTTTGCATAATGAATGATGGGATCAATTTAGCTTTCTGGGGAACTGCCCACCTACCCCTCCCCTAACTCAATGTTAACATTTACTTCTCACTTGGGGCAAAATGTTGGGTTTTGGGAGGGGTGGGTGGGCAGTTTCCCAGAACCTAAATTGAGCCGAATGATGCATGGTCAATTGCTCAGTCGGATGAGTACTGGTCTGCCAAATTACAGATCTTGAGTTTAACCTTAGCTGGACCAAAATTCATGGTCTTAAAATAACTTTGGAGAAAGTGCTGCCTTTGAAATGACATCAGGCCCCAGTTGTTCAAACATTGGATAGCGCTATCCACCGGATAAATCACTATCCAGCGGATAGCGTAATTGATTTCTGTAATACTTATCCGCGGGATAGTGATTTATCCGGTGGATAGCGCTATCCGACGTTTGAACAACCGGGGCCAGTTCAATAAATAATCAATTTCTCTAGTGTTCCCAGTCAAGGATGATAAACCATGATTGGCCCATCTCGCAACCTAATTGCTGATATAAAATCTGTGGGACATTAAAGAACCCACATGCTGTTTGTAAACAGTTAGGGGATGTACAGTACAGTAGTGGCTGCTGTGGTGGTCTAACTCTGCCATCAGGTGGTCAGCCTGGCTGGATTCTTTTGAGGGGCTTCTGAGCAAGTGAGACCACAATCACAAATGGCAGCCATAAGTCTGAAGGTTATGTGCTGGATGTTGGAACCCTAATTAACAGGGCTTCTGATACTTTGCGCGGTCGCGGAGCAGCGAAATTCTGGTAAATCCTCAAAATCCCGCGAAATTTACAAAAACACGAAAAATACCGCGAAATTAAATTTTTGGTAGAAATCTTATCAAATACATGTCTGTACAACATATTTGAAACTTATTTCAGCGATAGGGGCTATACACTTGCCGTAAACTTGCAAATTTATCTTGGAACTTCATCACTGAAACGTGCAAACAATGTCCCGAAACTACCAGGTGTAGATTAAGTTGCGAAAAACTGGGCAATAGCCATGATGTTAAAGGCTTTGCCATTGGTTCATTTCTGGAGCGTATTGTTGTTGAAAGAGCAAGTGATGACCTCTGTTAGAAAAACGTTAAAAATGCTGGTCTGATCAGCGCAAAACCGATCGATTTCTAGCAAAATTTGCCTTGAAAATAACCACAAAGTAGAAATTCCCGCGAAATCAGCCGATTTTTCCGCGAATTTGTCCCTAAAAATCCCACAAAATTTGACTTTTTCTTCCGTGGCCTATCAGAAGCCCTGAATTGAGGAACTCAAGAACTTAGGAGTCATTTACCCTAAGTTGTTGTGAAAGGAACCTTTGTAGAATACACATACAGGGAACAAAGTGTATTCCCTTGAACTTCAGTTGAAATTTATTTTACCTACAGGGTAAAAGTGGTTCACAGCAAAAACTAGCACCACCCTCTAAGGAAGACAGCTTACCAAGGGGTAGCTGGGCATCAAGGTAATTAGTCTAATATTGTTCTGTGAACATTTCATTTTTTTTTTTAGATGATATCTCATCAATAATTCTAAGCTTATAAAATTACATGTACATGTAATAGTCTGTAGATTATTTCTAGTGCAATTTGAACCCACAGTGTTATGTCTTCTATGTTCACACAACAAAAGTAAAATCAAAAGTTTCAGGCCTTGTCTCTAAACCCTAATAATTATTATTTGTATATCTTATAATTCATAACATTTTTTGGCTTTAGGATAATATCATGGGTGATGTATTAATTACTCCTTTATTTTAGGGCGAAATTTCAGCGATATTTCTAATTTCACTTGTGAAATTACCAAATTGCCATGGCAACCTTCTGTACGTCTCAGTGCCAAGATGATGACAAAGCTTAAAAGTTTTATCAATGAAGATGTCAGGGCATGCAAAATTTCAGCGATATTAATTTTCTGATTTCACAGGTGAAATTACAAAATTGCCATGGCAACCTTCTGTATGTCTCAGAGCCAAGATGATGACAAAGTCTAAAAATTTTTATGAATAAAGATGTCAGGGCATTAAAAAAATGCTTTAGAAAACCTTAACACAGGAAAGAGCACATCAAGAAGGATTCTAACAAATATTTTGTTGAAATATTCGGAAAATTCTGAACTTGAGCAAAATTTAAGCTGTAAACGTTTAAGATCGCGGAGTTCTTGATCGATATGATAAAACCAGGATAAACATTTCAAAAATCCACTATTGCGAATGAATTCATCATTTTGATCCATGATATGAATAGGTATTTTATCAAATGGTATACTTGTGAAATAAGGGAATTACAGTCAACTCTCTCTAAGACGGACACCTTTGGGGCCGGCACTAGCTGTCTGTCTTAGAGAGATGTCCGTCTTAAAGAAAGTCAAATAGAGGGAGCTAAGAAAGGCAGGGACCAACTCTAGGTGTCTGTTTTACAGAGGTGTCCGTCTTATAGAGGTGTCCGTTAAGAGAGAGTCGACTGTATTTCACTTGAGTTTTGTCCAAATCCTAATAATTTCCTGAGCCTTTAGTTAGTTAAGTTAATTAGTTTAGTAAATTATAAGAATTTGGACAAGACGCATGTGAAATTATTCCCTAATTTCACTCGTCACCATTTGATTACACATACTTATGTTACACCTCTTTGCAGTGCTACTGTAGTCTGTAGAATAGCATGTATGATCACATTTCATCACTAATCACACCTGTTACTTGTGATTTATACCCTATATTCTGTATTCCTTTCATCAGCATTTTTGACCTGCAGTCATGCAACCCTGATTCTCTGCTGCCAACTGTTCTTGAACGCACTCCAGGGGACGAGGTGGATCGTGCAAATGAAGAAGATCGCCAGCTTCACAGGATACACTCTTTATTTTCCATATATCCCATTCAGCAGGTATAATTCAGGGCTGTCTTTACGGGGGCTATGTCATTATGGATATTGCTGTTTTGGGTCAATTCTGTGCTGAAGTCATTACCGGTAATAACTGTATATACTGGCAACTTGAAAACGTCTTTAAAATAACGTTGGATAGCACTATCCAGTGGATAAGTATTAGGGAATCCAATTACGTCATGCACTGGATAGAGATTTATTTGATGGACAACGTTATCCACCTTTTGAATAACTGGGCCCTGTTCATGATCTATTTTTCAGGAGGAGGGAATAGAAAAGAGAGTTCCTGCCACTATTCCTCAGGAACATTTTGGGCAGAGAATTTTGGTGAAGTGTCTTCAACTCAAGTGAGTTATTTTGTCTGGAGGTAATGTGATATTTGCATTGTGGTAAAATACTTGGTAACACATGTTCTAATTTTCTTTTATTTTCTAACTTAAGGCTTGAGTTGGAAGTTGAACCAATATTTGCTACAATGGCTTTGTATGATGGCAGGTTGAAGAAAAAGGTACTTGTGCTTCAATGTGAAGCTTAATACATGTAGTTTAAA